GATTCAGGGTACATTATTTAGTTGTAATGTACTTTTGTTATAATTATTACTCTTTACAGTGTTATATTGCTTAAAGAAGCTGAGAGAAGAAAGGAAAATAAGTATATATTTATAGAGTTTGTTATACTGACCTTTTTGTTTACCATTTCTGATTTTTTTCTGTTTCTGTGTATTCAAGTTTATTTGGTACTGTTTCCTTGTTCCTATACAGTTTTATTTCCACCTGCATCTTTTGTATTGTTAGTATCAAATATACTATAGGCTCCAGCATATGATTACTCACATTATTTTATGCAATTGTCTTTTAAATGAATTAAGAGAAGAAAGAAGAAATTGGAAGTTATATTGTGTTTTATAATTACCTATATAACTACCTTTTCTTGCCTACTTTGCTTTTATCATGTGAATCAGAATTACTGTATGGTGTCACTGCTTTCAGCTTGAAGACCTTCCTTTAGTATCTTGTAATACAGTTCTGCTAGGAACAAATTGTCTCACTTTTTGTTTATCTGAAAATGTCTTTATTTTACTTTTATTTTGAAAAGATATTTTTGCTAGAGATAAGATTCTTGGTTGACTTTTTTATTTTAAGCTTGAGGTATAATTTTATTTTTTTATTTTTTATTTTTTTAATTAATTTATTTTTTCAAATTTCTTTCATCACTTTGAATATCATCCTACTTCATTCTGGCCTTTATTGCTTTTGATGAAAAGTCGAATGTTAATTTTATTTGGAGTTTCCTTGTACTTGATAAGACCTTTTTCTCTTGCTGCCTTCAAGATTTTCTCTTTGTCTTTCAAATTTTTGACTGTGGTGTATCTGGGTGTGGATCTCTTTTAGTTTATCCTACTTGGAGTTATTTTAACTTCTTGAATGTGTAGGTGTATTTAATCAAATTTGTGAGGTTTTCAGCAATTATTTCTTTTTAAAAAATAATTAATCAATTTTACTTTTATTGGATTTTTTCCATTACCATGTAGTCCCTTATACCCCGCAGTCACCATACTGTTGTCCACTTCCATGAGTCCTTTTTCTTTTTGCTCAACCACCTCCCCCCTTTAGCTGTCATCCTGCTTTCTATCTATGAGCCTGTCTCTATTTTGCTTGTTAGTTTAGTTTGTTCATTAGATTCCACATATGAGTGAAATCATATGGTACTTGTCTTTCTCTGCCTGGCTTATTTCATTTAGCATAATGTTCTCCAAGTCCGTCCATGCTGTCACAAAGGGTAAAAGTTTTCTTCTTTTATATGGCTGAGTAGTATTCCATTGTGTAAATGTCCCATCATTGTTTCATCCATTCATCTACTGATGGACACTTGGGCTGCTTCCATATCTTGATGATCATAAATAATACTGCAATGAACATAGTGGTGCTTATGTTCTTTCAAATTAGTGTTTTGGACTCCTTTGGATATATTCCCAGAAGTGGGATTGCTGGGTCAAAAGGCATATCCATTTTTTATTTTTCTGAGGCATCTCCATAGTGCTTTCCACAGTGGCTGTATGAATCTGCATTCCCACCAGGAGTGCAAAAGAGTCTCCCTTTCTCCACATCCTTACCAGCACTTGTTTGTTGGTTTATTGATAAAATAGCCATTCTGACAGGTGGGAGGTGATATCTCATTGTGGTTTTAATTTGTATTTCTCTGATGATTAGTGATGTTGAACATCTTTTTATATATCTATTGGCCATCTGCAATTATTTCTTTGAGCATTTTTCTGCTCCTTTTTCTTTCCTTCTGCGACTCCCAATATGTGTAATGTATGTTGATTCACTTGATGGTGTTCTATATTTCTTTGAGGCTCTGTTCATTTTTCTTCATTCTTTTTTTCTCTATTCTTCAGACTGCGTAATCTCTATTGGTATATTTACAAGTTTGCTGATTCTTCCATTCAAATTTCCCATTGGGTTCCTTCAGTGAATTTTTAATTTTGGTTACTATATTTTTTAACTCCAGAGTTTCCATTTGCTTCTTTTTTTTGTAATTGATATTCTTTATTCTTTTTTTTAAAAGATTTCATTTATTTATTTTTATCGAGGGGAAGGGAGGAAGAAAGATAGGGAGAGAAACATCAATGTGTGGTTGCCTCTCACATACCCCCTCCTGGGGACCTGGCCTGCAACCCGGGCATGTGCCCTACACTGGGAATCGAACTGGTGACCCTTTGGTTCACAGGCTGGCACTCAGTCTACTGAGCCACACGAGCTAGGGTTGTAATTGACATTCTTTTTGTTGATAATTCTGTATTTGATAAGGCATTGTTGTTATATCTTTAATTCTTTAAGCATGGTTTCCTTTAGTTCTTTGAACATACTGTAAAAACTGTTTTCAAGTTTTTTTCTCCTAAGTCTAATATCTGGCCCCCGTCAAAGGCAGATATTGTTGCCTGCTACTTTTTCTTGTGTAGGGATCACACTGTCATGTTTCTTTGCATGTTTTGTATTTTTGTTGAAAATTGGACATTTTTGGATAATATAGCAACTCTGGATACTGACCTCTCTTCTTCCTTACTCTGGAGCTTTAGTTTTTTGCTGGTTAATTTGTTTAATGACTTTGCTAGACTAGTTCAGTGAAGTCTGTTTCCTCCACAGTGTGCAGCTGCTGATGTCACTCCCCCAGCAGGTACAGTTTGTGGCATGTGCACAGATATTCTGACTCTCTAATCCTCACCCAGGGATGACAGTGGTTATAACTTAGCAGTGGTTATACAGGGGAAAGACTACATCTTTCCCCTATATTTCCCTGTTAAACATTGATGACTGGGATTCCTCTATTGATGTTACAGCCAGTGGCTAGTCTCCCCTAATTGTTAGCTGATTTATTTATTGTTTTTTGACAATGCCCTGAAACATAAATGTCCCTTAGTCTGATATAATTAATGTTGGGCTCCTTTGCAGAGGTGGTCTATAAAGCCAGTCTTTAAAGTTTACTCTGACTTCAGGAAGGTTCTTCTTAGCTCTCTCTACCCCTTTTCCTTTTTATTAAACTTCTAGCTGGTCTACATTTTACCTGTTGTTATCATGGAGCTACTAGCCTCCTCTTTATTTCCTGCCATAAAAATCTTAATTTTTTGACAGTGCCCATAGGTGTGAAATTTGCCATGTTATGTTTCCTATTAAGTAAGTCCCCTTACGGAGAGCTACAGAGCTCTGTTCTTACAGCATGCCTCTACTCCTAGGCAGGGCCTCTGCACTTACGCTCCAGAGCTAGGAGCGGGATAGCAGCCTGCCTCTCTCAGAGCAACACTCTGCTGTATGAGTGGGGGTCTGGACAGGGGTAGCAGCCCTAATCTCAGCTTGCCTCTCTTGGCTTGGAACCTTTGCCCTATGTGAGCTGGGACAAAGATGATCAGGGCTTAATATTCTTGGCCTGCTTTGCCTAGGACAGAGTTTCTTCCCTACAAGTGGGAACTGGGTAGAGAAATGGAACCCTTGTCCTTTTGACCACTTGCCTAGAAGAGAGCTTCTAAAACACATGGCTGTAGTGAATGAAAATGCTGTTATCATCCTAGAGTGGAGGTTAAGGGTGAGAGGGAGCCCCATATTCTTGCCTGTACTACCCAGAGTAGAGCTTCTGTCACTTTGGGCTGGAGGGTAGGGAGGGACAGGTTAGAGCTCAAATGCCTAGACTCTCCTTGTTCTTACCTAGATTTAGTAAATTTTCTTGAATAAATGTTTCTCTACTTGATACATGCTCTTAAAGACAATTTGTAGCAACTTAAATGTTTTTTTAAAATTATTGTTACCAGTTATGATTTTTTTTCCTCTGGGGAGAGGATGTGAGAGGAGCTCCTCACAGCTCTAGTATAGCTCTAACTTTTTGAAAATGGCAAACTTCACTTTTTCAAAGACATTTTACCTTCTAGACTTCACTGTTCATGTGTCCCTTTCTCCCTCTTAGTCTGAAATGTGAAGACTTTTTTTTAACCATAAAATCAACCAATTTTAGGTAGAAGAACAAATGTATGTCACAGATGTATTTGTAAATAATTCCCCAATGCTGTAAGTTTTCCTAATGCTTCTGTTTCATATGTGACCATGGTATTCACATAGTTTTCTTTGTAATTAATGAATTTAACTTATAATAGGCTGTGCCTCTTATTTGAATTTTTATTCTTGGAGAAAGTGTGTTTCCTAAGATAGGTCTTTATTATGCCAAAATACCTAGATAACTCCATTAGTTTTAAAAATTAAATGCAAGAAATCAGATGAGTTATTTCTAACACCATATAAATTCTTTAAAACTTAATGAAGGGATAGTAATTAAAAGTTTGAAATTTTGAGCCAGTTGCTTTCAATGATATAAGAATGTCATATAACAATGTATTTTAACCCTCTTATGTGTTAAAAAAGCGTATTAATTTAGTATGCTTTAAAGTAGCATTTATGCTTACAAAGAATCACAATTCATAGTCAAATTGTAATTATTCCAGTGAAAATTTATTATTTGAGTATTATTTGACAATATAAAATTTTTAAACAGATCCTTTTTCAAAATGTCTTTGAGACTAATTATATTTATTAGTATCTGCTCACAAAACAATTTTTACTCAACAAAGTTTATGATAGTTCACCTGTTGTTAAATTATCAAATTATATGGCTTTTCCATCAATGCTAAGAGAAAGAAAATAGGCCTTTACATTGCAATTCTTGGTTTTCAGTAGGTTCGGATTCCCTCTGATTTGAAGGGGGCACGTAATGAAATGATGTGATTTCTGAGACTTTAAACCTCTAAAATCTCTGCCAGTGAAGTTCTGAGGCATATACAGATCAGTTCAGCATTTAAAACCAAATTTTTGTCACACTGTACATCCATGTGTTAGAGCTTACAAAATTGAGTGTCTTACTCTTCTGTGCTCAATAGGTTTATAGTCATATTTCACAAGTTATGGTGATATTTAGGCATTTTCTCCTTCCTGCCCCACCAGGTTCCAAATCCAAAGCTATGCTTCTGAATCAATTACTTTGTGAAACCTCTTTGTTTCCTTTTTCCAGGTGTGTAGTAGAAATTATTATTTCATCCCATACACCATGAAACCGTGCACTGATTACGTTTCCTGCAAGGGCGATTTCCAGAAACTTGCCTCGGAGTGCATGCAGCCCAACTGGGTCACCATCATGGGTGCCCTGTGCGTGCCCCTGGTGGACAGGTTCACCAGCCTCCTCAGGGACATCCACGCGACCTCATGGTAATTCCTCTCAGCCATCAACAAGCCTAGGATCTTTGCCACAATCTTCCCTTCACATTCATGGAGGTGATGTACCCTCCAAAGACCATGGTGTCCAGAGAATGGGGAATCCTGCCAATCATTTTAAGTCATCCTGAAATCTTTTGTTGTTCCCTACACTGGGTTGGGGCCCTTGACATGTAGCCAAAAGAGAATAAAACTGGAATTAGGAGGTCAGGGTTGAGCATGTGTCTGGCCTCAACTTTCTGTGTGACTTTGATAACTTCTCTGTAATCATTTCTCATGTAGGCAATAAGGAAGTTAAATCAGTGATTTTTCTTAATGTTCTGAGAGTTAGTGGTTTAAATAATTTCTAAAGATGATTTCCTCCCCTCTTCACTCCATTCAGTTATTGAGGTTGTTAAAATGCCTCAGCATGGTCATTCTGACCGCAAGTTTTTGAGCTATAAAGGTCAGGATGCACTGAGTCCAGCTGAAGCCACCCTGACCTCAGGATGTCCTGTAATATGTTCTTTGTAGATTGATGTTGGATGAAGTGGAGAATACTGATTCAGAGGTGGGCAGGTTTGGGTTTGAGTGCTGGCTCAAGCAATTCATTGCTGTGTAGCCTTATAAAGTCAGCTCACCTCTTTGTTCCTCAGTGCTTAAGAAACCATGCCTTAAAATGTTCTTATTTGAAAACTTAAAGGCATAAAAATGATTCTACTTAACCAAAGGATCCAGTTATTTTGCTTGCAGCCAATTTAAAGGATTTACTTCTGTAAATTATATCACAAAGGGAAGGTTTTGTCCTTCCAAAACAAATGAAAATACAAAGTACTGGCTGAACCGACTTGAAATGTAAAGGACCACATGTCCCACTTTGGCTCAAATCATGGCTCCCTGACCTGCGGAGCATAACTACTGTAGTACTGGTGTGAGGTACACTCTAGTTAACAGTCTGTTTTCTTTTTCTACCTCATCACCTCTATTCTGGACACAAAGTTTCTCCTATAGGCTTTATTGGAAAAGAAGACTGAAAACCCAGACATCTGTGACCACATGCCAACATAGAAAGAAAATAGGGAACTTTTGTGGCACTTTCCTGGAAAACCTCATTTAATCTCCCCTTGCTAACTATTGTCTTAATAAATATTTTAGTAAAGTGTAAGGAGTCTCCGGGTATCGTCATCTCAGATCTGACAAGGGGATAGGTTAGCTTGAATCAGCCAGATGAGCAAGGTATTTTCCAGAAGCATACTCGTTTGTTTTTTATTCAGTGTATATATGTATCAGAAGAAAAAAAACTCTTTTGGTTTGGTTTAATTTGAAGGGACTTGAAACATCTATTGGTTGATTCCACCCCTTGAGCTGACAGATACCTAACAATGATTACTGATAGGGTAAATGGTGCTTATGATTTAAAAACATCTATAATGAAGATGGCAAAGTTTTTAGCTCAAGTGACAACTCTTAATTGATAAAGGCTACCTGGAGCCCTCTGATAAAAAGGGGGTTAGAAGCCATTTCCAAGTTCACGTTAACTAGTAACATCTTTGCTGGTTTGCAGTGGCAAAAATGGCTGCATGCTTATTACATATATGTCCTCAAGCCATACTCAATTCAGTGTTTTGTTTATTTACTTACAAGTTACTGTTCTTACTGGGTTTCTTAGTTTATTAAAACTATTTTTCAGAATTACCCTGGAAAACAAGACAAAACTAAAGTATAACTTTTTACTTGTCAAGCTAAACTACTGACCTCTTAATAGCTTTGATGCCTTTAGTTCATCAAATGAATAATGACTGTCATCCAAGTTAATGACTCATTAGATTAATAATAGAATTTTATGCTTAATAGAATTTTAAACATTGGTAGAATCTCCTAATTTGCTTATCATTGGGGTGATGAGCAATAGACAAATAAGGAAATAAAAGATTAAAGCAGTGCACTGGTATTTTTATATCAGAGTAGTTTGTGTGGGCATCACTTCATTCTTTAAATATTTAAGACTTTTTATTATAAGCATTGGGACAAGGCTGTGTATTGTTCACATATTTATTTGGCATAGTTTTATAATTATTAAAATAACAGTTCTGACTAGTTGAAGACTTCCAGTCAAGATGGAGGTGTAGGTAAACACACTTCACTTCCTCACACAACCACAGAAAGAATTACAACTAGACCTCAAAACAAATAATACCCAGAATTGTCAGAAAATTGAGCTGTATGAAAGTCTGACAACTAAGATATAAAGAAGCTACATTCATCCAGACGGGTAGGAGGGGTGGAGATGCGGAGGTGAGCAGAGATGCAGTGTGGCAGGGAGAGGCAGCAGCTGCAGAAAAGGCAGTCCCACATTCATGTGTGGTGGGTAAAAATCAGGAGGGATATCTTGAGATTGAGCGATCCCAGCCCCAGGCCAGACTGCACAACCCTGGGTTCAAATGTCAGGAAGATAAATCCCCATAAATTCTGGCAGTAAGAACCAGTGGTGTTTGCGGTGGCAGAAGAAACTGACGGATTTTCAGGAGACTCTGCTTAAAGTCTCGCCCCCTCTGGGATTCAGCACCAGGGCTACAGCTGGAAGGGTACCAGCCACAGAGAGTCAGTGCCAGGCAAACCTCCAGAAGTCAGGCAGTCGCAGTGTCCCCTCTCTGAGCCCTCCCCCAACACTGCCACAAAGCAGTGAAGCAGGTTGCCCTGCCCTTGCGATTACCAAATGCTCTACCTCACAGAATTTACAGGTGACTTTTCTACACCAGGCCATGCTACTAAGACAGGGAGTCAAAGCAGCTCTACCTAATACACAGAAACAAACACGGGGAGGCTGCCAAATTGAGGAGAAAAAGAAATATGGCCCAAATGAAAGAACAAGCAAAACTCCAGAAAAAGAACTAATCAAAATGGAGATAAGCAATCTATCAGATGCAGAGTTCAAAACACTGGTGATCAGGATGCTCTAAGAACTCATTGAATACAGCAACAAAATAAAAAATATCAAGGCAGAAATGAAGGTTACACTAAGTGAAATAAAGAAAAATATACAGGAAAACAACAGAGGAGGTGATGAATCTGAGGTCAAATCAATGATTTGGAATGTAAGGAAGAAATAAGCATTCAACTAGAATAGTGAGAAGAAAAAAAGAACTTAAAAAAATTGAGGCGAGGCTTAGGAACCTCTGGTACATGTCAAAACGTGCCAACATCCAACTCACAGGGATGTCAGAAGGAGAAGAGAAAGAGCAAGATACTGAAAAGTTACTTGAAAAAATAATGAAAGAAAACTTCTAATTTGATGAAAGAAATAGACATGGAAGTCCAGGAAGCACAGAGTGTCCCAAACAAGTTGGACCCAAAGAGGATCACACCAAGGCACATCATAATTAAAATGCCAAAAGTTAAAAAGAGAATCTTAAAAACAGCAAGAGAAAAAAGAGAGTTACCTACAGAGGAGTTCCCATAAGACTGTCAGCTGATTTCTCAAAAGAAACTGCAGGCAAGAAGGGACTGGCAAGAAGTATTCAAAGTGATGAAAAGCAAGGACCTTCAACCTACATTGCTCCATCCGGCAAAGCTATCATTTAGAATGGAAGGACAGATAAAGTGCTTCCCAGATAAGGTAAAGCTAAAGGAGTTCATCATCACCAAGCCATTATTATATGAAATGTTTAAGGGATTTATTTAAGAAAAAGAAGATCAAAACTGAACATTACAATGGCAACAAACTCACAACTATCAACAACTGAATCTAAAAAAGTAAACAAGCAGAACAGGAACAGAATCATAGATATGGAGATCATTTAGAGGTTTATCAGCTGGGGGGGAAGGGGAATTATGGGGGAAAGGTACACAGATTAAGAAGCATAATTGGTAGATACAAAATAGACCGGAGGGGGGTTGTTAAGAATAGTACAGAAAATGGAGAAGCCAAAGAACTTACATGCATGACCCATGGACATGAACTAAGCGGGGTGGGGGAGGATTGCTGGAGGGAATGAGGGTACCAGATGGAGAGGGACAAAGGGGGAAAAACTGGGACAACTGTAATAAAAATCAATAAAATCTATTTTTAAAAAGTAGTTCTTACATGTTCTCTTTTTCTGAAGACTGTTATTTAATTGAGCTTGTTAGTCTGTTTTTTAATGAAGAGCCTAATTTTAGTCTCTATAGTTAACTCATTTCTGCTACTTAATGGGTTGATGGTCCTACCACTTGGCAATGCCCAATCTCCATGAAAAAATTACTTGGAAAGTGGACAACAAATTTAAATCACTCTCTGGTCATTTTAAGTCAAGCCTGGATGCATAGAGATAGATGCAACCTGAGGTTTTCTTGTTTCCCTCTCCAGTTTTTATTATGAAGAAACTTTGTTAAATGATATCCAGAGAGCCAGAGAGAGATACCAGGACAAAGATCTAGCGAAGGAGCTGGCTCGGATCAAACTCCGCATGGATAGTAATGAAGTTCTGAGTTCAGACATCATCATTAATTTACTGCTGTCCTACCGCGATATCCAGGTATGAAGTATGCTTACCTGAGGCTAACACATGCTGAGTTCTTCCTTGGCATGAGGAATTCCTTATATGAAGTACTCTTATAGCAGGTACATGGCGAAGTAGCTGTTTTATAGACAAAATGGGTATGTGGCTAGGTCATAGGTCATCTCGTGTATCTGTTGTGGTAGAAATATTGGAGAAGATTTTGTCCTGTCAGATGGCCACTCCAACAAAACTACCATAAATGCAGAATTTAAGAGTTTATATGTTCTTTAAGCTAGACATTGTTCTGAGCCCTTCGTGAATCTTGATTCGTTTAATCCTTATCACAAGCCTGTGGGGTGAATACTCTGATTATCCCTATTTTACAAATGAGGAACATGAGGCACAGAGAAATTAAGTGACTTGCTCAAGGTCACACAGCAGTTGGCAAAGTCAGCGTTCAAACCAAGGCAATTGGCTCCATTGTCCTTGCTCTTAATTCATCTGCTGTGCTGCTTCATTTAGGCCTTTGTCACTTCCTTCTTTATTTACCAGCACCCATCAGTGACAGGGAGAAAAGGAGTAGCAGGTGCACATCCAGGACCCAGGGAATAAAGATGTTTATCCTAAGGCAAGTGTCAGAGACTTCTGGAGAGTTCCTGAGACAGGGTTTGTGGGATGCTATACCATGAAAGAAATCAGGCATGTCCTCCCTCCATGTTCAGTGCTGTTGAGCCACTTCTAAGGATGTCTTGCCTTACTTCCCTTTGGAGGAATGTACAAAGGCAAAGCACCTTGTCTGCATAATTCCACAAAGCCATATAGGAAGGAGATTGTTGGTTACAGGTCTTTAAAGAGAGCGGTATCCATTGTGCCACTAGTGATAAACAGATGCATTTTACTGATTTTAATAGGGTTATAACGATTAAACTATGCCCCATGGGACAGAAGAATGGGGATGCCCTTTTTTGAAGCCTTTCTTCCTGAGCTGCTGGCTTCCTCCTGTCCTTGTCTTCACGTATCTCTTCTTTTTATAACCTTCCATTGTTGGGGCTCTCAGATTCAAAGGTGAGCCAGAAGCTTCTTAGAATCGACTGCCTTCCCTTTCCTTGGGCAACTGCATTCAGATGCAGAGCCACAAAAAAGGCATGGGGTTTTGGTGGGAAGTCCTGTGCTGTGTCTGGCTGTCAGGCAGTTGGTCAGTAGCAGTGATTCTAAGCCTGGCTGAAAGGGTAGCAGATGGCACTACTCATAGGGGATCCAGCTGAGGCAAACATGGTAGCAATTATTCCCTAGGTAATTATGCAGTGGTTCTCAACTGGGGGACATGTGGCAGTGTCTGGAGACATTTTTGGTTGTCACATCCTTGGAGGGGGGAGGAAGGAGGTGCTCCTGGCATCTAGTAGCTAGAAGCCAGGGACGCTGCTTAACATCCCACATGCACAGGACAGTGCCCCATAATACAGAATGATCCAACCCCAACATGTCAATGGTGCCAAGGCTGAGAAATGCTAGTTTAGGTGGATTTGTTAGTTTCTGGCAAAATAGGAAGGACTGAGATGTTTCTTCCCGTTATGTGGCAAGTGGCTGCAAGGTTTCTTGTATGTTTATGGCCAGTTTATTTTAATCCACAGCTGTGCTGGTGGTGGTAACTCTCCTGGACTCAAAACATGGTAGCTTTTTTCATGGCTGCTGCTGGGTAGTGAGTAACTTCAGTAAATGTAGTCTGTAGCTTGGTGGCCATGTGCCCATCCAAACTCGGCTACCATGGATTTGAAGAATAACTAGGAATTTGCCACATTCAACTTATATTTAAGTGCCTAGGCTGTCTCATGCTTATAACTTTTCAGAAAAATCTGTGGAGATATGTGTTTCCTCTCTTTCTCACCTTGGGACCTCTTGCCAACAGGACTATGATGCAATGGTGGACCTGGTAGAAACAATGGAACTCCTGCCTGTGTGTGATTTGACCGACCAACATAATATTAAATTCCACTATGCATTTGCACTGAATAGGTAAGGATGATAAGGACTTCTGAAACAAGCCACGTGTTTTATTCTGCTTCCTTCATTTACTCAACGCTCATTGAATATAAGCCAGATCATGTGCTCAATGTCAAGGTTGTGAAATGGGCAAGGCACGAAAATGTCAAGGTTATTAAAATGGACAAGGTCTTGGTCTTCAGGGACTTTGTTTTTGGAACATATATTCTAGCTGTGAGGTCAGCCATGTAGCTAAATCTCACTAGCTTATAGAGATAAAGATCTTAATGAGGTTTGCCCAATGTGCTGTGGAAGCATAACAGAGGGAGGAAGTCACTCTTACTGGACATTTTCTGGGATCTTTTGGGCTGATATTTGAAGGCTTAGTAAGAATTACGTCATGGCCAGGAGAGGGTGTGGAAGGGAGGTGGTAAAAAGGCCATTCCACTTGGCCAGAGCTGAGCATAGAGTTCTTTATGTGCAGTGTGTGTCTTCAGAGAACTGTATGAACAAAACTCAAGTTGCAGGTGAAACAAATGCATACAGTGAGGCTCAGCATGGAGGATGGGACCATGTCTTGAAAGGACCTTGTATACATGAGTAAGGAGTTGATAGTATCTTGTAGAGTGTGGGAAACCAGGTTAAACAGCAGGATTAACATTGTATGATAGGAAAAGAGGGTGCTGTCTTTAAGTATTGGTATAATCTGAACTTTGAAATACAAATTACTGGGCTAGGTAGAGTATGTGAGACTTGGAAATTCCAGCCTAGAGACCATGAGCCTCAAAAGCTCACATGTGAGGGGTATTAGCTAAGATGCTGTAATAAAGAAAGCCTAAATGCAGTGCTTTAAATTAGGTTGCAATTTGTCTTTTACATAGCAGTTTAGAGCTGACTGGTCCAGGCTAGTGGCATAGCACTGCTCCAGGAGTTGATCAGGGACATGGCTTCTGACCATTTTGTAGCTCTTTCATTTCTAAGACTTGCCCTCTTTCTCTAGTTGAAGCTCAGTCACTGGTACTCTGTGTTCTAGCCTGTGGAAAGGAGGAAAGAGTAGGAGCTCAGGGCAAGTAATTTCTTTTAAAGCAAGTGGAATTTGCACATTCCACTTCTAACATTCCACTGGTGAGAGCATAGTCATGTGACCCCCATCTAGTGGGTAAGGAAAGCTGGGAAATATAGTCTATAGCTAGGTGGTTATGTGCCCATACAAACTCGGTTACTATGGATTTGGAGGATAAATAGGAGTTTGCCACATTTGACCTCACAAAATCTCAGATGCCTAAATGTCTCAGCCTTACAGTCTCTCTTCTTTCCCTGATAAGATACAGGAAGAGGAATAGCATTAGGCTACTATGGTGAGAACCGTGCCTGGATATACACTTCATGCTAGGCCTGTCCTCTTCTGGGGCCAGGAATGATGATACTGACTCATACAGCAAAAAAAAAACAAAAACAAAAAAAAAAAAAAAAACTCTGGAAGGGAATTCAGACTTGGCTTGAGAGCCAGAGTTCTGTCACCTTTTTTTACCCTTCTGTAGCTAACGTCTTTCACAGGGAATGAATAAAGTGAGATTGGAGGTGATCTGGATTAGAGGACTCTAGTGTCTGGTTTCTCAGAGGCTTGGCTTTGCCTCTGCAGCTGGATTAGGCTACAGACTAGGAGCCTGGTACTGGCAGCATTTGCAGGACAGCAGCAACACAAGCCGATGGCTTAAGGAGTCTCATGACTCATTTGAGGTCACATCTCTCTTTTATATTTAAGTAAAATGCACAAACAGTGAAGTGCATAGATTTTAAGTATACAGTTTGATGAGTTTTGATAATGGATATACCCGTGTAAACAGCACGCCTATCAAAATAAAAAGAGTCTATTCCTCCAGAAAGTTACTTTGTGCACCTTTGTAAGCAATCACCACCCCTCCATAGGCAACCACTGTTGCAGCCTCTGTTTCCATAGATGAGTTTTTCCTGTCCTTGAGCTTCATCTAAATGGAATCACATGGTATTTACTCTTTTTTGTCTGGCTTCCTTCACTCAGCATCATGTTTGTGAGGTTCGTCCATGCTGTTGAATGTGTCAACAGTTCGTTCACTCTCGTTGCCGTGTAGTAGTCCATTGTGTGGATATGCTACAACTGATTTCTCCATTTTACTGCTGATAAACCTTTAGGTTTTTTCTAGTTTAGGTATACTATGATCATGCTGGTATAACATTTGTGTGCATGATTTTTGTACACAAGCGGACATGTTTCTGTCAGGTATATCATATATGCATGTGTCCTGCTATAGTAGATGCGGACAAACAGTGGTGGTCAGGATTTTGATTCCTTTGGAGGGTGGGCGTCTTCATAGTCTCTGTGCAAATGTGCCTGCTTTCTCCCCAGTGGTCTTTAAACTCAGCAGCAGGGAGTGCTGGGAAAAGCATCTTCATTAAGACTGAAAAAAGAAGTCCTGTAACTCCTTTGCCACAGAGTAATGGGTTCCACTTTTATTTATACTTAATTATACTTGATTGACTCTTGATTTATAATGACTAAATAAGTTATCACTGGTGAAGTTCCTGGAAGAATGCCCAGCACACTGTAAGTGCCATAAAAACAAGAGTTCGTTAAATAAAAGCTTTGAAGGCCATTTAAATCACTTGCCATCATGTCCTTTCCCAAACAGAGTAAAGGCAACTGCTGTCAAACAGAATGAAACTATCTGGTTGCCATCCACTTAAAGTAATAAAAGAATAAAAAAAGTTTTGAAAAGGAAAATCAGTATTTTAGAGAAATGGGTACGGCAACATGAAGTGATCCCAAGATGAATATCTTTCCAAGTTGGAAACAGAATGGCCGGGTTTGCACACCAGAGAGCTACCTTTCTCTCTGACAATAGGTCTTTTCCTTTTCATCTGATTGACACAGACAGTGGCTCTGATTTGTAGGCCAGGCAGAGGCCTCAACGCCAAGAACCTCATTTTCTCCAACCAACTAGGGGTTTTCTATAGAATTACTATAATTGCTTCATTTAAACATGCGATCTGATCCTGATTTTCACATCTTTGCTGTAGGTATAACTTGGCTAGCTGTCAGCATAGTTGTAGTAGGATTTGGCATTACATACACTTTTGAGGACGTTTAGGGACTTACCTTGTACTAATAGAGGAGAAATTGGTGGTGGCAAATCGTGGTATTTTTCCTATATTACAGCCGGTTTAACTCGTAGGAACTGGAGCAAATCATGTCCATAAATTAGTTACTAAAGGTTAGCAGTAATAAATGGCATTTGGCCCTCAGATGTCAAGGGCTCCCTCTTATTAGAAAACCTGACTTGAGCTGACCAGCTTTTCCTGGTATCTTCCACTTTACTGCATTCTGAAGCCCATTCAAGACTACTTCAAATTTCCACTGAGCAGTTAAACAGCTTGCCTCTCAGTGGCATGAATCCTTTATGAGCAATTTTTATTTGTTGCTTCTTTTACAGACAAGACTTTATTAGATATGTTAATGCAGCCAGAAGATTCCAGGCAGTCAGCAAAAGAATTGTCTGGAAGAATAAAAGTCCTAGGTTAAAAACAACAAAGCTTGCCTGCTGCAAAGTAGGAGTGTACTTACTTTACTCCCTGCATCTTTCTGTCAAGACCTCCAACTCCAGCAAAATTCAATTCATTGAATTATTCAGCAAGTGGAGGGGAAGCTTAATGCATGACACATTTATTGTAATATCTAATATATCACTGTAAAAGTAAAGGGGAGTGATGGAGAGAAGATACTCTGGGGGCCCTAGAAACGTGTGAAGAGGAGATACTAGATGAATGTTACTGAATTCAGCCCATGCCAGAGGGGCTACAGGCTTGTTCCAGAACATACAGCACTCACCTAAACCTCAGCCTCTGAGCTATCCAGGCAGACCATTGCTCAGGTAGAGGCACAGATGTCTCCAGGAGGACAGTGTGGGCTCATTGTCTATGCAGTAACCGCCAGCCTCTTTTTCTTTGTCTCTTTTGTTTATGTTCATTGTTCAAGATCTCACCATCTTAATCTATATGTTTATATAAATAGCCATTCTTTAAAACATTTTTGTAAAGTAGAGAAATGATTACATCTCCCCATTTTTAAAGGGCATTTGTCTCCAGGGATCTAAAACCATGTTGCAAAAGAAGGATACATATGTATGGTGACTGTTTTCCTAACCATGAAGAGAACCAGAAAGTCTGTGAACTTACAAGGGATCATCTAGTCCAAACCCTTTATTTTAGAGAGGGGGATGGAAGGAAGAAAGGCAGGAACCTAAAATATAACAGCTGTTCAATAAGAGAGCTGGGACCAGAACTCCCCAATTTTAGCACAGTACTCTTCATCCACTAGTTTAATAATATGATGGCATAATCAATGAAAGTATTCCCAGAAAGCTTGATCTTATATTTGGTTTGTGTGAAGGATAACCAAAACCAGCCACGGACCACTTGGAATTGGAGGTCTACTTTTGATATGTCCTGTTTTGTCATATATGTTGAAATTGGATGGTAGCTGAATAGTGAAACCACTTTTCGTAATATATACTTTTTATACCAAAAGACTAGTTACATTTTTCCATGAGAAATTGACCATCTAGTTATCCTCTAAGCAGTGGCCTTGCCAATAACATGTTTTCCTTTTGAAAAATATTTATTCAAAGGGCTTACTACTTCCACCTGTCCTCATTCTTCCACATTGGCATCCTTGAGTCTGTGATATCTTCCTTTTCTACTTCCTGCTCTACTTCACTCTCTCCCCCGCTTCATTTACTAACTTACTTATGTGTCATCGGAAGGGCTTCGTCTAAAGAGAGAGCTCATGAGGGGCAACTAAAGTTAATGAGTGACTAAAAATACAATCTCACATAAATATTACACACATGCACACACTTGAGCTTATACAGACAAACTTGTTCTCTTCAAACTAATTGTGCTGCAATGCACTGCATTTATTTTGACAATGTTGCCATTATTCAGAATATCATGTCACTGGGATGAGGGGATTTTTTCCTTTGGAATTGCCTTAAGAG